CACTGTTCTTAACATCCATTGGTTTAGTTACACAGTCTGCTACCTGACATACCTATGTTCCGCATCATGGTCACATCCTAACATTCAGCAACTGACTGTTTCACAGAATTCCGAGCGGCAATCGACTCCAGAGATCGCAAATCTCTTTGGAATATACAAATTATCATCATCATCATCATCGTACAGCGAAATACAGTGAAGCGAATTCCACTGATCGCTGCCAGACTCGCAATTCATACAAGTTTAGTGGTAATATTTAGGTGTACAGAGATTGGACATATTTTGATCTATAACAATACTAGCCGATAACGCTTCTTTCAGACTCCATAATCCCATAATATTTTGCCAGCCTAACAAAATGGATCAAATCCGCGTCTACGATGAGGGAACTAAGTGTTTGGACTATGATCTAGAGTGAGACACGGACGACCGTGATCCCCAACTTTATGATTGATACAGAGTAACGAACAACCACTCAGGGATCTGAATCTGTTCTCGCTTTCAAATGGAAGTGGATGAGAGGGGATTTGATAGAGACGTTAATGTTAGGAGTATATCAGGACAGAGGTTTGAGTAATAAATTCACGATGATTTTGTCGCTATTGATGAGGACGTAGTTAACTTCTAAAAAGTTGGTAACTGCATCAATAGGCAAGTCTGATTATCATTTATTTAACGGACAAGTCATTAACTGAGGGCCCACATTTCAAATAACAGTTGGCGGCGAGGAGCATTGTCCGCGAACATGGTGGGAGATGATCGACTGTAATTGCAACTGGATCAACTCACTTGTTCCCACGAACAATGACTAAATACTGTTTGAAAGCCATCACCGCGAGTTTAATTCCCCCGGTTGCCAAACAGCGACTTCGACCGTCCCAGTTATAGAAACGGACAGCCTAGAAATGGACACAAACGTTTGGTATTTGGGACGGCAACAACAACAATTTGCGTGATAAAAAGATTCGCTGAAAAGACTGCATCCTGAAAGTGTATTATTAGTGTGGGGAATGCAAACACGGTTATACAGTTGACAGAAACTTACCTTTACGGTTCAACACAATAACCAAAGCTATGGATCGAATGACAATCAACTCCCCCCCCCGTCGCTTTCTGTTCACTAACCCTATCGTCAAGATCTTAGTGCCGAGATCACCTTCAAAGTGTAAAATGTTACTACAAGACTGGGTTGGTTCAGCACCCAGTCTCACTCTAACTGGGGAAGCAATAGAGCAAAAGGATAAGTTTTGTTATCTGGACAGCTATATCTCACCCGGTGGACGCATCACAGATGAAGTGTCAACTCGCATAAACAAGACTCGATGAGCATTTGCTAACTTGAGATATCTGTGACTGGACAGCGACATCCAGCTGTCTGTGAAGGGTCGCGTATATGCTGCAGCAGTTCAGCCAGTCATCATCATGATCATCATCGTACAGCGAGATACAGTGAAGCGAGCTTCACTGAACACTGCCAAGCTCACAATGTACATAGATCAAGTGATAAAGCAAAAGATGGAGAGGGCTTGGGTCTACTTGGAGGGAGGCAAAGAAAAAGAACCTCTATATTCAACACAGTTTGGCCAGTGCTGCTTTACGGTGCAGAGACTTGGCCATTAAGAAAACAGGATAAAAATAGATTGTCGGTGTTCGAACACCGCTGTTTACGTCGCATTGCACGAGTCTGGTGGGGTAACCGGACGAGCACTGCTGAAGTTAGGCGTACAGTTTTAGGTAATCGCGGTCATCCACTGGAGCAGCTAGTTGACCTTCATAGATTACGGTGGTTGGGCTTACTTCGTGTCCTACTGTGATAATGTGTCACCAGATAGGTTGCCACGGCGAGCGATGTTTGCCGAGGCAGGTAGCGGTTGGAACAAGATCAAGGGAGATCGAACTAAAACCTGGCATGAGGGTATGAAAACCCTAACCAGGAGTCTGAGTCACATAGGTCCTGTTAGGCTCCCTGAATGGAGACCNGACACTGAATGATATGGCTGGATGTCGTAAACAGTGGCGTTCGTGCATCTTCTCAATTTCTTTGCAGCCATATTTTATTGGAGTTCTCCATTTTCTCTTCGACTCTACCTTCAACCTCTCTGTGTTTTTCTTACTGTTTCATCCAAATGGGCAACCTAAAGACAGCAACCAAAACCGGCGCACGAAAGTGCATGGTTAATGGTTGTGGCTGTGGGATTCGGCTTTTCCGGTGATCATCGAACGTAACTGTGTAATCAATAAAATTGGTATGACTTGGACAGAAGCTAGAATCTCATTTCAGTATAAGAGCGCATCGGTTAACGATGGAATTGATTACAGGTCGTGATAGGACAGTAATTAATACCGGAGAACTTTTGTAACCCTCTAGAGAGCATATAATTTAGACACGGCAGAATGCAATATACCATTATCGAAAGCCGAAACCTACCTGGGAGTCAGCAACAGCGAAATATGTTACGGACGGGTTGGAGTTTTCCTTTACCATAGTGGAACAAACGTAACCGCCCCGATATTGATCAAGTGTATTCTGTGATGAACAGTAGAAATAAAGGGAGGACGAAACTAGAGCCATTTGTAAAACTAATCCAAACATAAACTGCATTCAGGTTTCTGAGGCAAAATAACAAGTTGGATAGAATAGCGCGTAATAAGCATCTGTTTTAAAATGGAAAAGGAGCTCCCCATAATTCGACAACTCTTTCTATGGTTTCATGTGGGTGATGGAGGATTTGATTCAATCTCAAAGGAGAAATTCGTCATGTATATAGCATGACCGAGTGGTTAGTATGCTTGCGTTCTGCTTGTGAGGTCCCTGGTTCGATCCCCCTCCAGTTGGATCGATGGATTCGCACTGCTGATGAGACCCAACCAGGTCGAAACAGCTGTCCAATGCATCCTAGCTTTTCAGTTCACGCTTCATTTACACGACGAATTTTCCCTTTGAAACCCGTCTATGGTCTTGAATGAAATTCACGCTAACGGAGAAGTTATCGTGGTATAAACAACCAAGGTGGAAAAATGTCAAATTATAGTCGCAAACATATGGATGAATTTTGTGGCAAATGTGCGTAAAATTGTTTGCAAAAGAAAGATATGGATGAAGGGTTAGGTCAGATAAACACTACTAAAAGGAGTTCGTCTCACATTTATTATCTCACTGACTATAAAAAATCACTTTGACTGTAGTATGCACGTGTAGAGATGGATACATTGTGCGAACCCATGTTTCTGACTTCTCTGTTCAAATTTGTGACGAGAGGACAGTGTTTTCGATTCTATTCCCCTAGGTCTTACCAGGAAGATAATGAAACAGGTAAATGCTAGACCAGATTCTAATTAATTAAACTTGGTGGTCATGTTCAAGTTTCCAAGTCCCCCCCCCCACACACACACTCACTTGTAGCTGAACTTCATCACGTCTACCTAGTACGAAGCTCATAGTGCACGCGTTGGAGCAGGCGAACACAACCGGTCCGGGACAGTCTGCGGAATGCGTGTCCGTTCGGGTTCGACCCATACCGGGGACATCTGCGGGCGCGGTACAAATGCCAAGGCCAATGACCGGTTCGGAGAACGTGTGTAAGACAAAACGCTTCCCAAACCTGGGAACAAACCAAACCGGGGAAATATTTGATCGTCAAATATGTATTCATCAGACAGAGTTAACGTATCATTGAAAACTGTATCGCCAAACTTGTCAGAAATCTTGCGTGGCGCACTTCAATCTCAGTTACTGGAACTTAAAACTGGAAAGTAATGTCTGCTGTCCGAGATAAGAGCCCCTTGATTGATTCCAAATATTGCGGTGGAGTGTGCGATATTTTGAGATGGCAAAAGCAATCGCTCTACTCGTGAGTAATGTGATTTGAAAGCACTATTATATGCCACAAAGATGTAATGGATACTTGCTTTAAAACAATAGCATATGAAAATAAACAAAGCTATCCCACCTCAAATGTCTATACCATGAACAAGGCAGCAAACAAAAGCATAGTGGATGCTGAATGCCTACGACATAGTTGGACTCTGGCAGTTCACCTGGGTGAGTTGACTAAAAACCCTAATTCCAAACTAATCAAGAACAGGCATGTGAAATATGCACACCCGTTCCTCGTTGTACCAGTGCCCACTGGCTCAATTGAACTTCGAGGGCATCTGGAACGTTTGACCCCGCACAAAGGGTGTAGGAGCTGATGAACTAGACTCCGTCCCCCAATGGATTGTGGTTTTCACACCGCCCCGCTGCCTTTCTTATCGGGTTTTAGCTCTGGTTGTACATTCCTTAAGAAAATTCATGCGTTTTGGTTAGAGCAATCTGGCAGTATCCCATCCAAAAGCAAATCGTTGATTTTTTTCTTTTTAATAAGGACTATTTTACCATGATTTTTTTGACGCAGTCTGAACCGAGACATGTGTGAAATATAATAATAATTTGAACAGAGATAAACACAACTGAAAGGAGTTCATCTCACATTTATAATCTCACCGAATTTTAAATCACTTTGACTACAGTATGCACGTGTACAGATGGAGCGAAATTACCATGGATACATTGTGCAAACCCATGTTTCTGACTTCTCGGTTCAAATAATAACAATAATAATAATAATAATAATAATAATAATAATAATAATAATAATAAATTTGGTGTGTTTTCCATTAAAACGAAATAAGTGTATGCCACGCTCATAACTGCACTTTTCTGGATTGTTTTGTGCAGTAGCATAATCCAGAAAAATTCTCCTTCGCTTCACTAGAACGAACGAAAGAGACTGATTTTCAAAACGCCAAGTCAATATGCGTAGAGACGCAAAACAATGGGAATACGGTGGATGTTTATTCTCTGATTTTCGACAAAAAGAAAGAACAACACAGGGATCACTACCGAAAAAAGAATATAGCTAGAGCGACTGGACTTGCCGTTCTCGAGCAATTTCGCCCCGAATCACTTGTAAAACTCCGTTTGCGTGGCCAAGGGCGATTATCTGAAGCGTTTGGTCTACGGATAGACATGTCACCTTAGTTGGAAAAATGAGGGAATGGAAAAGTAAGAAATATGTATTTGCAATTGAGCAGTTCCGACAGATAAACACGAAGCAAATCAAACTTTGGGCGGGATTCAAACAAACAGACTCTGTATACCCGTGTCACTAGACTTCTCTTAAGCCCAGAGCACCGCCAATAACGGGTGAATTGTGAGTGGTTGGACCGCGCCTACAGGCCACAGACACATCGATTGTTTGGCCAGACTAGCGACGCTTCGTACTCTCTATGACTTTTCTACGTTACTGCGGCTGACTCCTTGGAAAGGATAAACCGGTTACAGACATGATAATGATCATGAAATTCCTTGGAAGTTTGATATGAGAGACGTCCCCAGCGTCACTCGGCGTTTTTTTATTTTGGGGGCTCACCTCCAGTCTTTGCACAACCAAGCGCGAATCGCAAGGCAGCAAGAAGTAATCCCTCGCCTCGGAAGTGAGGGAGTCAATGACTTTAGTTTTAAAAGGCCAGTCACATCGATCTTTGTCAGGACACTATCATTGGGCTCACGCGGCTTTTAAACAGGAGCTAGGTGACCAGCCTGAAATCCACCACCCACCCACCCTGGTAATACCGCCGCTGTTTGTTCGCGACTGCTTATTTGTCGCAGTATACCACAACTTATTCACAGTTAACCTTCTTCGGTGAAGGTATCCTCCTATACACAACCCGGGGATGCGCCTGGTAGCATTCAGCTCTGTTTAACCTGAGAGTATCCAGATGCTCTCTACTAGAGAATCATAACATCAAACGCACATTTAAGAGCACTGGGCAGAGAACTTTAGTTCCATATATTTTGGTGAGAATCACAGGGCATCATCTATAGCGAGCAGTGGGTAAGTCAATGGATTTCAAAGCTCCCAAGAAGGTGTACAAGACTGATGGTCATTAAAAATTCTAAAAGCAAAAATCACAATCCAGATTTTACATAGAAGTGTGTAGGATGGACATCCTGGATAGTTTTCAACTTTGGCAGCTCACAAAACCAAAAGAGCAGACGAGCATTTGCCTAGACCAACCACGAACTATCAATACAATGTCTGTTATCAAATCGCGTGTGGAAAAATGTAGTGCATGCTTACCGGACTGGGCACCTGATTAGCTATAGTACACGAAGAATTGCGCAGGCAAGTCGGTTCAGGACGAGTGAACCACTGGACGATGTGAAACGAAACAGATGTGCGAGGCATCGAGAGCAAAGAGAGAAAAACAAGCAGAAGACAAAATATAAAGTATTTCCAACTAAAAACAAACAGCACACAAAAAACATCAAAGTTCTTACGATAATCTCATGTTAGACGATAAAAACTCTGTGGTAAGATTACTACACGAAAGACTCACTTTGGCAATATTCCACACCTTGAACCGTTCTTCATTGTCTTCATCCACCTGGAAAAATGAATCAGAACTGGTTCCTGGAATTGTTTTCTGTGTTTGGTTGCCCAAAATTGTCTTTCAAGTTGGACTATTACAACTTTGCAAGTCGGAAGTTCCACTGGGAAATAGGTAACGTGTTGGGGAGCAAGTTACAGTTGGGAGACTGGATTTTCGGACAGAAGAGGTTGACGAATTCCATAAAAAAACAAGCGATATTCTGTTCCCGGCTTGTAAACGGTTCTGTTTTGAATGGATTAGTTTGTTTCATTTCTTATAAACGTTAACCAGGCACCTACGTGCGGCGGTTTTGGTTGCTGTCTTTAGGTTGCCTATTTGGATAACAGAGCAGAATGAAGATTGGAATGTTTAGAACAGAGTCAAAGAGAAGAAGGGCCAAGGCTGTAAAGATAATGAGTAAGTGCATGAGCGCCACTGTTTGTGACACTATCATATCACTCAGTGTCTCTTACCACCGGTGAAGATGATCCCGAGGTCCCCATCCAGGGAGAGCAGCAAGATCTATATGACTGAGTTTCCCAGTTATGGTTTTTATATCCGCATACTAGGTCTTTATTTGACCGCCTTTGACCTTTTCTCCGTCCGATACCTGAGTCGGCAAACATCGCTCGTCGTGGTAACCTATCTGGTGACATGCGCAACACACGTCCAAACCAGCGTAGTCTATGGAAGTAGACTATTTCTTCCAGTGGGCGACAGCGATCACCTAAAGCCCTGAGTTTAACCTCAGCACTGCTTGTTTGATTTCCCCACCAGACTTGTGTAATGCAGCGTAGACAGTGATATTCGAACACCAACAGTCTGTATTTATCCTGTTCCCGCCAAGTCTCTGTACCATAGAGTAGGACTAATCCAACTGCTGCAGCATATACTCGGCCCTTGACAGACATCCGGATATCGCGGCGGTGCCACAAATGTCTTCAGTTGGCAAATGCCAATCTAGCCTTCTGTATGTGTCGATACCTCATCTGTGACGCGTCCGCCAGGTGAGATATAGCTGCCTAAATAGTAAAATTTGTCTACTTCCTCTACTACTTCCCCAGTTACAGTGAGGTTGGAGGCTGGACCAACCCATTTTACACTTTGAGTGTGAAAAAATCATACTAAATATGGCTACACTAGCACTCAAAATATGCGGAAAAGCTTGCAACTTACCTGGAAAGTAGTTATTCGCATTTTTATTTTTTTTTCCTGTAACTATGGTGTGAAACTTCCCAATCGTTCACTGGGCGCTCCCACTGAATTCGAAGCGGAACAACGTACTAAATGATAGCCTCCGTGTGCGAGATGGACGGTTGTATCAAATGAACGCCAGCGGACACATGGGTTAATCTGAGAGAACGGAATACGTTTTTCCATCACGCAACGGATTTCATGACTAAACAAACAAATCAAACAGAACCTGAGAATTTCGAAAAAGCAAGACAAATTCCGTACGTCATCATCATCATCATCGTACAGCGAAATTCAGTGAAGCGAACTTCACTGGTCGCTGCCAAACTCGCAATTCATACAAGGTTAGTTGTAAAATTTAAGGTGGATAGGGATTGAGCCTACTTTGAGGGAGGGGAAGGTGAACCTCTATGGTCAACACACGGGGGTTTGTACAACGTAACCTGGCGTGAGGTCAAATGTAAGCAACCTATTGCTATGGAAAGATCAGACTAAACAGGGAGGGAGCACGGTCGATAACTCACCCCGATAGAAACCAGGAGATCTTGTTGCTTTGTATGAAACAAATGTTTCACGCAGTTAAGGTGAGCACGAAAACAGACGATGTTTTGAGCTCGATCTAGCCGATGAATAAAACCGTTTTGATCCCCCAACCAAACATGTCCGTGACCCGATGTGACGCTGGTTATTTGAGCATTTTCCTATAGAAAAAGGGGTGCGATAAAAAGAAACATGTGACGTTTGTGATGGAATTCATAATATAGCTTGCTCATAGAGACAGAGTAAACAGGTACCACTAGAGGTCTCAGCCGATGAAGATATGGGGAAGTGATCCCTTTTGATCGACAGGCAGAATACATAATTTAGCGGTGCACTCACACCCAGCCCTGGTAATGTATAACGCTTCTCTGCCGCATGCAATGATACTGTAAAGAGATAAAAGTAGTGGTCTGTTTCTCACGGACTACGAGGCAAATCAAACTCAAAAAT